ATTCGGGTTTGCGCGGGGGAGCCGAGCCGGTAACCCGGCCGCTCAGCGGTGGTACAGAAGCTATGGCGACGGGACGTGATGTCTCCGTTCCCTCCTTCAGGGAACGAGGGTTACCATACGTAATGTTACCATTACGTAACATAACGAGACGTTACCATTTTAGGGTGATGTTGCTACAGGGTAGGCCTACACTTAAGCAGAAATATTATTTACACTACATGTAATTATAACTACATGTACTTGCTGTAGGGTTTGGTTTATTGTAGGGCTGGACAATAATTCAGTATCAATATTGTAAGGCATTTCCGAACATCACACAAACCAGATGAGAGTCGTAAAAAGCTGAACCATGGCCAGCCAGGCGGCAACTTTCTCCAATGAGTTCCTGTCTCGCTCTGCTTATCTTTACAAAGAAAACACGGAGCTAATGATTTGCCAGGAATTGATCAAAAGTGATGATAAAGGCATTTATAATGTTACAAAAGATTTCTATTTCAGATAAATAGTGTTCATATCGATATCGGAATTATATCGTATCGACCGAAATTAAGAAATATATTGTGATATCAATTTTGGCCATATCGTCCAGCCCTAGTTTATTGTTAGTTACTTGTAATTGTGCTTAATTTACAATTATTTTTATAGCAAGTATGCGAAGTGTCTAACTACATCATCTTTTAGGTAGGGCTGGGACAATAAATCGATGCATCGTGATCTGTGGATTCGATTCTGAGATTTTCGGAATGCATCGTGATTCTCTCGAATCGATTCTGAGCTTAGTTTTTAACAGGAGATGGCGCTCAAGGCTAGTTTTTAAGGCACACACTCAAATACTCACGAAGAAGAGCGCTTGTGCGTTCGGCTGAGTAATGTAAGTGGTTAAATGTACTTGCACATCAGCTTTTATGCTTTTATGATGTGAGATTAATGTAAACACAGGCCACTGTGTGAACATCCTTGTAATTCGCTTCAACCTTTTCGAACTTTGTAAATGATTATTTTAGGTGCAAGTGGTGCGTGTGTAAGGAACTGGAAGCAAGCAGAATACGGCTATTTCTAAAGCACGCAGTGCCATCTGCTGTTAAAAACGAAGCTCAGAATCGATTCAAGAGAGAATCGCGATGCCTTCAGAAAATCTCAGAATCAATGCAGAATAATTTCTCGATTTGCGATGCATCGATTTATTGTCCCAGCCCTACTTTTAGGCCTGTTTCACACCGCATGCATAAGCGGAGCGTAAGTAGCGCATATTTTTTCTGTGCCTATTTTAACAGGTTAGAGCATTTACACCGCATGCAAAGCCGGCGTAGCAGGAGCAAAGCAGAAGTGGCAGTGCTGTGATCGTCTTTGCTGCACCGCTCACACTGAATTAAAGCCACAGTGTTCTTGGTTAAAATAGACCTCAGTTGCCATGAAAACTCACCATTCACCATGAAATCAAATAAGTGCGCTGTAAAAAATGATTGTGATTTTAACAGTAAAAGACTGTAAAAATGCTACAGTAAAAACCTGTTAATTGGTTAACAGTAAGTTTCCATAATATGTTCGGTGAATAAATGTAATTACATTTAATGTAATTTTACAGTACAATACTGTTAAAAATATGGTTTTTGGAAGTGAAAAAGAAAAAGTCATTGTATAATTTACAGTGA